AATAACTTTCTCCATCTTTTAGTTACATATAAAATGTCTAAATATGATGGATTATACTATAACATGTTATGAATGATGGCACGATAAGTGGTAATACAGTCTCATATAAATACCGAGAGACTTCATTGAATATCCTGCGTCAAAAGCTCTTGAGATAAGAAAGATAAGTCTTGAGCATCCAGACTTTGAGTTTCTTGCTATTCCATTAGAAATGAAGATTCATCAAAATCAGTGAAAAAAAGGTTTGACATGAGATATTACATAAAACCCAACATGACTACACAGGAGTTGAATGAAGGTCTTATGGAAAAAATGACTGAGGCAAGTAGAGAATTTGTTGATTGTTACTATGATTCAAATGAAAATAAATTGAATGTATTAAGAAAAGGTACATCACCAATCATAACATTACCTTCATACAGTAGTATAGAAAAAAAATGCCTTGAATTATAAATATGACATGTCCCTAGGAGATGTGTTGGATTTCATCACTGCGTTATTAGAAACCACTGAAACAGACACAAACATCAAGAAAACCAGAGCTTGTTTGGGAAGATGACCATGGTAGAACATTCACGCAAAAAGTAATTCCATCGAAAGCAAAATTTTTAGACTTATGGGGAAAAAATATATCTCGCGAATGCATGTATATTATAGTTTTACCATAGCAGATTTCACTGACGAAAATGATAAAGATAAAAAAACATATAAGTACTTTGATGAGCTTTTCATAACTATAGCGAATATCAGGTTTATCCTTGAGCGAAAGGGCAAACCAACATATAAATTGTTCGGTTATCAAGTAAGAATAAATCCTCTCCTTGAGCCTTTAGTAACGTTGAGTAATATTGCTCATGATAACAAACAATTTATATGTAATGTGAATGAACAGCTTGTGCCACCAAAATTTTACGTATCACTGGTTATAAAGATGCACTCGTGTTTGAGTTTTATAAGCGCTTTTCATTCAAAAGAGTTGAAGAATCAACTGATGGTCAAAAAAAGGAATATTATGTAAAAGAACCATATGAAATTCCTAAAGACTCTAATATAATGGTTGAACTTATATTAGAGTCTGGTACTCAATCTCAACATAAATAGTTTACGTGACAGAATTTTTTTGACACGTAAAGTTTACATTTTAATGGAAGCGAACAACAAAGCTCCTGCTAGTGAATAAAGGTTAGTTTACATATGAACGTTTATTTTTACACATATATGCGTACATATGCGCGCCCGTATGGTGTCAGTTTTCTGTCACTTTTTTCATTGTGTCGGTGACTGTAGCTGTAGGCTACAGGCGACGCACAATGTATACTGTACTTAAATCGTATAAATTTAATAAATATACCATGAATATTGAATGAATTTCTTGATTCATAGGGGTAAAACGCGCTTTTATATGATTTAGACAGAGAATTTATGAGATGTAAATAACACAATAAAGGTTTATATTGAATATTTTCTAAAAATAAATCGAAATTATAAAAAACAATACATTTATTCATTGAAACTACTTGGACAAATATGAAACAAGCATTCAGGCAATACTTTTGAGACTTCAACGCATCTGATAATTTTTATATAACTTCACCTCTTATGCTTAGAGTGGAGGTATTGAGATCGTATAAGTATAGCTGAGCTCACATTCAGATATGATGTGTGAACTTCTGTTTTCACTGCAATTTTGAATCAGAATAAACTCAAAACAAGAATAAAATGATATACTCACTCTCTAAATGTGTTCGAGATTTAAAGTTGTATGAATAAACGATTCATCTTTCGAAGCCTCCCATTTAATGAGAGACTTCGAAAGATGAATGTTCATGTAGATGAAATACTATATATGACCATGTGTGATACTAAAGATATCAAAATGTTCATTTTTAAGTGCAATAAAAGGGTTATCTCTCGTAAAATCTCAATTTAAGGAAGATTTAGAAAGAACTCCTTTCCTAAGTAGATAGTGTGTGGTTTCTGTCTTTTGTTGATCAGGAACTATGAAATTAAGTCGGACAGAAAGAAGTTCTTTCCAAAACAGACTCCAAATGAGTTGTTCGAAAAGAACTTCCTTCTGTATATGGATATTGATATGTTACGTGTTTCTACATGTCGAAATGAATCGTAATGAGTGATTGAGATGATAAGTTATGATGGAGGTCTCTCGAATAAGACTGAGATTAGATATTAAGATTGAAAACTCAAGTAATTCTTTGAAATGACAATTTTGTGTTGTCTGGCACTATATAATCACACAAGAATGGATATATTATGTTGATATGAGTAGCATCTTGCTCGGCATTCGCCGAGCGAATTGAGTTTAAGTACTATGAAAAGTGACAATTTTGGCTTTTTTTCTAGGGTTATGATCTCTCCTTTCTGCTCAATACGACAAAATGAAAGAAGAATTTGTACTCCCTAATTGATTACTACAATCTGTATCTATCTTTAACATAGAATTAGCTGCATTGTGATTTATACTCCAGAATTATTCAATTTAAGATCACCTCGTAAATTTTAATCATATTGCACCAATACTCCTACGTTGAGATAAGAACATGATTATACATACCAAAGCCCCATATTAAAAATCAAAATTTAGCACCTCCATTATGCAACCACATTATTCGTCGCAAATAAGTATATTTACGCATATTATGATGCATATTCACACAACTCGTATACATGAAAAGTTATTAAAATCAGACAAAATTATTGCAATAAGGAAAAAAAAACAACTTTATTATATATGTTAGTAATGAATTACAAATATTTCTACAAAGATGCTCAATACTTCATATAATCTTCGAATATTTCTTATTACAAGTTAATACATTTTGACTCGAACATGATAAACAAAAGCCGACACGCTGATTACTACATTTATGAAAATATAGTACGTTTCCATTCATCTGTTTACTTGTTTTGTTGGAATAAAATCATTTTTTTTTCTTTCATGAAATAAGAATTTTTGCGAAAGCAATATCTCTAACAATAATTAATACATTACGTCAACTCTGGAATGAGTATTTATCAAATATGATATCAAAATCAAAAATTAGTTGTTTTTATGAGTAAAAACGATGTAAATTGATTATTTGACTAATTATCAAATACTTTGATTTTCCAAATTTTTTTCGAAATTGATTTTTTCATGTGAAAATTCAAATTGTTTAATTTCATTTTTGAAATTTTGAATTTTTTTTGGAATTTTGAGTTGATCAATTCAGCAGAATTGATAATGCTATTGCTTTAGGGCATACCACAAGGTGATGAATAAAAGGTGAACATTAACAAATTATTTTAAATCACAAATATCATCCTCATCAACTTTAATTCTAAAAAGAACTGTACTGAATTATGAAAATGCATGATTTACATTATTAAAATCTTTGAATGAAAATAGTACAAGATAAGTTTTTATTCATTTTTATTAGATTTAAACGAAAAACTACTCCATATTAAAATTTAAGTCGAGAAATCGTATTTTGTTCTTATTTGTTAGCATTTTGTAGACATTCTAATCTTGAATTAATTTGTTACATGATATTATTAACAAATTTAACTGAAAAAATATGTTAATATGGAATAAACCATGATTATATAAGCTATCAATGCTATATATACATATGTAAAAGATTCATATTAACTCAATTAACAAAAATGATAGATTTTCATAAAGCTTCAATCTAGGTTCGTCCGAAAATTTTGATTTTTATATAGAAGACATAGTTTCATATACATAATTAAATTTTCAAACAAATTCGATCATACCATTTATTAAGCAGGATAGTATATTAATTACTATCAGTATAAAAAATATAAAATGATTATATTTAATTATTGCATAATTTAGTCAAAGAGTTTAAGCCTCAAGTGATCGTTATCACCTTCAATGCACGTATACTTTATTGATTCATAGATATTTATCTATGTTTGACATGTTGTTGTCGTCATTCGTTTTGTTCCCATTCTTCCTAAGTTAGAATTAGAGAATACACCATCCACATCATCTAATTTGGTCCTCAGCGATAGATTGGTTCATTTTGGAGGAGTCCCATCAGACAGTTTTCGAGCACCAAATATCAATTTTAATGTATACAAATCTTTAGTGATTTATCTCTTTTATGATGAGTAAAAGGTTTCTGCTCATCAACATTTGATTTCCGACATATATGATTTCTAATTGCAATTATTTACTTTCTTTTTATAATCTAACTCTGTGACTCATACCATAAATTAATTATTGGAAAGTGTCAATATGTTTGGCACAACGCATGGCGGAAGATACCAAACCATGCAGGGAATATGATACGTTTAAGATCTCCGAACTTTTTTTCCAAAAATTTTCTATCGTTGCCCTACCTCTAATTTGCTTTTCAGATTGATTCAGATGAAAAATTATTAAGTAACTAAAAGAGATAATTTTAAATCAACCTATAATAAAAATGTATTTGGAAATTCAATCTGCATTTTTTTTGCAAAATGACATTGGGGAGAAATTAAGTTAATAAATGTTGTGTAAAAAGGAAGAAAATGAGATATAATAGTATTCTATAGTAAAAAAATAAAAATTGTCCGAGTTTATTGATTGGATTAACTATGAAAATTTTACGTCATATTTTTAGTGCAGTATCAATTTTATCATTATTTCATATTAAAATGCTTTTCAATTCAATTCTTCCGGTTGGATTCAAAATCGTTATCCCATTCAATTTTCGAAATGTTCGGTTTATACTATTATATCATAGTTCAAGTGATAATGCATATTTCGATCAGATCCTGTCATGTTCATATTGAATCCAAGAATTCGAAATTTCAAAAAAGTAATTCTAAATATCATATTATTTATAATGTTCTTTTTTATAAATTTGAATCCTAAAAAACCGTTACGAATTTTTCTGAGGGATAATATAGCACATCGAGTGCTATGATTTAATCAAATACAAACAAAAGTTTTTGAATTGCATTTTATCGTTGTCAGCTCGCATTTATTAAAAATGTTTTATGATTTTTCGAGATTCTACACTAGAGTAGAAGATCCTCCAATTGAAAATACTCTGAAAAAGATAGAGCTGTACGCCAAATCAATCCAGATGCTCCACGATGAAATCGAACATTTAAAATCTGAACAAAATTTGGCAATAACGCATCTAAAACAATACCAAGCAGACTTCAATCAGCTAAGAAACATGTACAATAAAGTATCAAGAAAACTCCAGTCTACAACACCAAATAAAGAAGATTCCCAGATCATTAGGAGTTGTAGCGAATATAGAGTTGAGCTGACACGTGATATCCCACAGAATTATACTAATTTGCAATTCCAGATATTAGCGAATGATACTTTTTATAAATCCAAATCGAACGTTCGCCTCGTTTTATCATATAATAACGTTCAAACAATTAAATCAGCTGCAATTGATGATTTAACGACTAGGTTAGCATTTACAGATGGAAATTCCTTGACATTATTAAATCTTGAGAACAGAACTTTCATAAATTCTGTTTTAATCCCAGATAACACATCAGTCCTTTATAATAAGCGCAGCGTTATGTTCACACCAAACGGTCAATATATCTGCCTGTCTATCGGGCCCAAATTATTATTATATCTCGCAAATAATCTCAAATTATGCACTGAAATATCATTAGATGAAAGCAAAATCATCTCAATTCAATTCTCTACAGACTTAGATTTGCTTATTCTAGCTTATGAAAACGGTATTTTAAGTGAATTTCAATTGAGTACTTTGGAACCGATCAAAACATACAAATGCGAGTTCGAAGGTACACCACAATTAATACTTACAGGGATGGAAATCAAAGGAAATAACCTGCGAGTTTCTAGTGACATGGGCGTAATGGTTACCTTAAAAATCCCACAGTTTTCGCTTGTGAGCATTAATAACACTGGCAGTAGAATACCATACGGATTCGTTTCTTCGCCAAATTCTGAACGATTCATAACATTATCAAATCAATCAGATTCAAAGAAAGATGATGACATAACTTACGCTGATTTCTCTACTGATGGATCACTTTTTGTTACAGCATCAGTAAACTTCAGACTTACAGTTTGGGAAACAAAAACAATGATCCAATTATTTTCCATAGTATTTCACCAAAATACCATTACAGATTTACGCCATAGCAAAAATAAGCCACTCTTTGTCTCTGTCTCGGCCGATGGCTATATTTGCTTGTGGGAATACACAAAAAAAGAATGAAGCTTAATTAATATGATTTGATACCCGAATAATTCGATACACTATTGTAGATATATTTAATATTATTGTTTTATTTTTGTTTTTATTGTTTTATATTAAATTTTGTTTATATGTTTATGCAATTGGAAGATTCTACTATTGTTATTTGCATTCCAAAATGGGTTTAACTTTAAATTTCCAGCAATTGGCTCATATTAAATATTAAAGAGTAGGGTTAACTATGTTTTTATGCCATAATATTTGAGCATTAGCGTAAGTCATCAATTTCAAGCAATATGCTACATAAATTCCTGATAAAATGGATCTGTTATATATTCCAAAGAACAAATATATAAATAAATTCATTAGTATTTCAAAAACAAAGTAATTCACGAATTAAGTAATAGTTTAACATATTAAAAACAATACAAAATAAGTATATATAAAAAATTATTATAATTATTTTCAAGTATTTTTGTTGATTAATGTGTTAACAACAACCTTTTTTGTTGTTATCGTTTGCTGTTGGTATTTGCATTGATTCTTTCTTTTTGGAAACTGTATCAGTTGCGTCATTTAATTGTGCTACTTCAGAAAACAGTTCAAGAACCTTCACCTGTTTTAGCTGATGTTTCACAATAAAAAGCAGCACCATTCTGTTTGGCAAATTGTTGAGCTGTTGTTGTGCTAACAACTCTATCTTCTAAATCGCATTTATTGCCTACAATAACAATCTGTAATTGCACTGGAGCCTTTTCTTGAAGTTCATCCATCCAATCTTTAAGCGCTTGAAAACTCTTAAGATTTGTAACGTCATAAAATAGAATTGCAACACTTGCTGCTCGATAATACATAGGAGCTAGGGATCTAGATTGTTCCTGACCGGCTGTGTCCCATATTTGTAGTTGAACAAAGCCAGCTGGTGTTTGAAGAAAATAATTCTGAAAAGCAGCACCAATTGTTGCTTGGCTATCGGATTTAAATTCTTTGTTTATCAATCTTGCAAGCACACAAGTTTTCCCGACTTGAGTATCACCAACAAGAACGATCTTCATAATTTTGTGGGAGACATGTGATATGAATAAGCTTTTTGCTTTACACAGTCTGATCACAAATTATTCCTATTAGTTAATTAAGAATTTTCCTGAATTGTTCAAAAAATTGACATTGAAAATTTTGAAAATTAGATTGCCATGTTGTAATTAGCATTTATCTGCTTGCATCAGCTAGTTAAATAGAAATCACTGACCCATTGTAATTGACTACTATTTTTGCAAAATAATTAATTCAAAATAAAGCTATCTGATGTGAATAGATTAAACTTAATTGGCAAGTTCATATCATACAATATTTATGAATAAGATATTATCCAAAAATATAATTGTTGACTGAAATACGTAATCGATATTGATAAATATAAACTGTATATGCAAACGCAATGAGGAAGTTACCTATGCTATTAGATAACTCCATTAATTATTAGAGTTTAAAAGAAAAAAGATGTTTGAATTTTAAATATAAAAATAATTTACCGAGTTATAAAAATAAAACAAAAATATAATTGATTAAATCCTACATTTTCCATTGCCTTCCTGATATTTCTTCAACAAGCTTGTTTGATTATTCTTTACAGCTAAATCATTTGCTGTCAAGCCATCTTTGGTCTTTAATGTTTGATCACAGTTCTTATCAAACAAGAATTCAGCAATTTCTTCATATCCGTACCATGCGGCGTACATCAGTGGTGACCATCCATTGTTATTTTGCGCATTAATATTTGCACCATGTTTTGCCAAGTACTTTAGTATCTCAATTCTGTTTAATTTGGCTGCTAAGAGTATTGGAGTATTTCCAAGTATATCTTTGGACTCCAAGTTTGCTTTCTTTTTCACCAATTTCCTTAACATCTTGAAGAAGTTTCCATTTACAGCAAATAAAATTGGTGTTTGTCCATCAGCCATTTTAACTTCTGTATCTGCATGGTTCTTAATCAAATCAATTGCAATATCAATCCTGTTCAATGCACAAGCCATTAACAATGGTGTCCAGCCTTCTTTGTTCTTAATTTCTAAGTTGCAACCTTCTTTTATCAGCTGTTTTGCAACTAATGGCTGATTATGAATAACACAATACATCAATGCCGTGTTATTAGAATTATCAACTTCATTTAAGTCATCTGTTGCTTTTATAAGCAAATCAATGACAGAAGTCTTTCCATTCTTTATTGATATCATCAACGGAGACAATCCATCGTTTGTTTTGAATTTAATACTGATCTTATTTTCAATGCAAAATGTAAAGAAATCGTTACAACCATATTCAGCAGCCAAAAGAATTGGATTCTTTCCGTCACGACTTTCTTGGTCAATCCTTGCATTCTTAGAGATATAGAATCTCACAAATTCCATGATGTTCATCTTAATCGCATGCATCAAAGCGGACATTCCATTTTTATCACAAATGTCAATATTCGCTCCGTTTTCTACAAGAAACTTTGCAGCTTCAATTCTTCTATTAATTGTTGCAATTATAAGAGGTGTATAACCATCCAACGTCTGACCATTTATTTCTGCTTTTGCTTTCAAAAGGTAATCCATGTTAGAAATGTTGTTATTTGAAACAGAAAACATTAAAGGAGTCCATCCTTCGTGATTTTTAGCATGAACGCTTGCACCTTTAGAAACTAAAAGTTTCATTGCTTCTCCATTATCTTGTTTTGCAGCAATGATCAATGCATTAATGTTGTCATTTGTATAAGCTTCAATTTCAGCTCCATTTTCTAAAAGTAAATTTATCATTTCGATGTTATTTTTCTCACCGCAAGCAATTATTAAAGGTGTCATCATTTTATTGTTTTTGTGGTCAATTGCTGCTTTGTTATTGATTAAAAACAAAGCGATATCTGTGTCCAATGATTTACTTGCATGCGACAAAGCTGTATTTCCATTATTATCTGTTGCATCAATGAAAATGTTTTTGCTGACAAGGAATTTAACTAAATCTTTGTTTCTCATTTTAACAGCATGCATTAACAACGTGGAACCATTGATATCTTTAGTTTCAATATCAGCATTGTGATCAATCAAGTAATGAACAATTTCAAGGTTATTATTTATCAATGCAATTGTCAAAGCTGTTTTTCCTTCTTTGTTATGAACATCAATAGTTGCGTTTGATTCAATCAAGAACTTAACAACATCCAAAGCATTCTTATTTGATGCATGCATCAAAGCAGTCTCTCCATTCTTATCTTTAGCTTCAATTTTGACTCCAATGTTTATCAATTTTTTGACAATTTCCAAATTTTTGTAAAAACTTGCAATTATCAAAGGAGTCATTCCATTCAATCCAGAAGCTTCGCAATTGGCATTAGAAGATATTAATACATCAACTAATTCACCACAATCTTCTTTGCATGCAAACATTAAACTTGTCCATCCAAATTTATCTTTTGCTTCAATTTGCGCGTTATTTCGCAACAAATATTTTGCGCAATCAGTTGATTTATTCATTGTCGCAACAATAAGAGGTGTTTGTTCGTCATTGTTCCTCTGTTCCATGTTTGCTCCTTGCTTTATCAGCCATTTAACACTTTGCAAAGCATTTACTTCGCAACTATACAACAAAGCAGTAAATCCTTTCAAAGATTTCGATTCGATTTTTGCACCATTTTTAAGTAAATATTCCATTGTGTTAATATTTGATTTAACAGCACTATGCATAAAACAATTCATTCCTTGTTTATCAGAACTATCGATTTGTGCTTTATTGTCAACAAGCAACTGTATAATTTCTAATCTTCCGTAAATAACTGCGTGAATTAATGAAGTTTTTCCTTCAATGTCTTTTTCTTCGATGTTTGCATGATGATGAACTAAATACTCACAAGATTCATAACTCCCATGTGCACAAGCAGTCATCAATGGTGTCATGCCTTTGTCTGTTTTGTTCTCTATTCCGGCATTCTGAGACACCAATATTTCTACAATTTCAATGCAGTTTTGTTCGCATGCCAAATGTAAACTTGTTAATCCATCTCTTGAATAATGATCTACTTTCGCTTGTTTGTCGATGAGGTATTTAACAACTCCAACATTGTTATAGAGTGATGCAAACATCATTGGCGACCAGCCATCAATAGATGTCGATTCAATGTTTGCGTGTCTTTCTACTAAGAATTCGACAATTTGAAATTTGTCTTTGACAATGGAATGTATCAAAGGAGTCCAGCCATTGGCGTCTTTGGCTTCTATATCGGCGTAGTGGTTGACAAGGAATGATGTCATTTCGTAATTTGTTCCAGATGAGTAGATTAACGGTGTAATTTTCTCAGAATTTCGACATTCAATGTTTGCTTGGTGTTCTAGAAGAGCCTGAGCAATACCAAGCTGATTGTAGATTACAGATGTCATAAGTGGTGTATTTTGCTTGTTATTTTTGGCTTCAATGTCTGCGCCAATGGATAATAAATAATTGATAATATCGACTCGGAAAGAGCGGGAAGCAAAGTTCAGTAATGTATTTCCTTCGAGGTCGCGATCGTGAATATTTGATTTTTGCTCAAATTGTTCTGCGAAATTACTTGGATTTGTATTATCGACTAAATCTTGAAAGATAATTCGAATTAAATCAACTTGAGAGGTATCAGTTGCTTGTTTTGGAGGATATTCTATCGTCTGATCTTGTTGTAACGGATCACTTCCCGTACTTTTGCTTGCCATTGTTGCACTTTTTCGATTTTACGAAGAATATTACTCTTTCGATGCTAATTTACTTATTTAGGTGCAAAATAAAATTTCCAATCATTTTTCATCCAAAGAAATCCCATATAACGACATAAATATTTTTACACGTCGTAAAAAAGTTTTTTTGTCTCTATTACTCTTTTACAGTATTTTCGGCTTTAAAAGTCTATAACACTAGCAGTGCTGGCCATTATCCAGAGATTCTTCATCTAAAATCTAATTTATTCCCAAAATATTCACCTTAATTCAGCAATTCAATATAAAGAGAAGTATGCAGTGGCATCATCAGTATAATTAACCATCTACTAACATGTAAAACCATCCGCATACAAGCTAATTTTTCCGATTATTTATCTAAGTACACTCCGATCACATCATTTTACGCTAACCCTATTTACACGATTAGTAAATGAGAATTCACAATAGAAGATCTATTATTTGCAAAATTATTAATATTTTTTCCTTCAAATTACAAGATACTGAAAGCTTATTGTTATTATTCTTATTAACTCTTCGAAATATTAATTAATATTTACTTGATAATAGATGACTAAATGTTTCATTTTGAATGAATATAGCATGATCTAAAATAACATGTTCAAGTTTTGTAATAAGCTTGAAAAAAAGTATGTGTGATAATTAAAAAACTAAAAAAACTTATGTTTTTTTATAAATTAGTTTTTTAAGGCACTTTTAAAAAATGGGATTGCCAATACCCAGTAAAAATGAAAAAGAAATAAAAGGAAAAGGATATGAAATCCTCAAATAACATCAAAAGTCTCAAAAAATAATTCTTCGTCATTAAGAGTATTTTCGAATGAATTATCGAGAATGAAGTCGTCTTTGTAAAGATCAACATCTGCAATTTCTCCAAATGATTGTAGTTCATATTGTTGTTCTACTTCTTGTTGCTTTTGTTCTTGGAGTATTAAAGGAACAGGAAAATCAATGGGATGCATAGGAATATTCATAGGAGTAAATGATTCCAATGATGGGTTATAGAATTTAGCTAAATCTGAAGACATCTGTTTCTGTGTGCGTGGGTTTTTCTTACTTAGAATAAGTTTACCTTTACTATTGCATTCGTATATAGTTTCGTTAGAACCTTCAAAGTCCCATGTGATACTTTTCATAATGCGCTTAGCACTGCACATATGATGAAAAAATGATTTTATTTGACAAAACGATACTACACAATTTTACCAACAGTAAAAGCTTCAAATTCATTCAAAAGTTTTGACCGCTCATTGTTTTATTTTATTCATGATTCGATCTTGAGATAATGATTATACAACTTTATCAAATTTTAATTTTTTTTTGTTCGAATTTTTTTCTAAGCGGCTTAACAATTTATTTGATGTCTGCAACTAGCGTTTGTGGAGCCCACCATCAAATTGAGATGAACATTTTCGAGTTCATCATCAAGTTCAAAGTTTCGGAGAGTAGTCTTAAACTTTGGCTTCGTTCACAGTTCAATGATCTTTTCGGAAGTCAAAACAAAGTTCCTAATTTAGACGAATATCCAGCCCTTTATGTTATGGTCGAAGATGAATCATATGCATCTATTGACGTTACAAAATCTCAAATTTCCGAAGTTTGTGGATTTTGGGATTCAAATTTATACCCGAGAGTTGACGAATTTGCACACGACCTTATCGTTGACGCTCAATACTTATATAAAAGTTTATAAAAATCGATATCACACACCTTGTGATATCAAAACAAGGCAACCATACATGAGTTCATTATTACCCTAACACTTGAACTCATTGCCTTTACAATTTATTGGATCTTGTGCTTCCATTTTGCTAAATGCACAAAAACAAAAAAAATTTATTATATTAAAAAAAATGGGATAGTATATTATCCCAAATATTATTAGGCCCATATACATATATCCAAAAGGCCAAAAAACAAAATAATTATAAAAAACATTAGAAGAAGAAGAAAATTATATTCTTGTTTTATAGTAAATATTTGATATTTGAACAAATAAAACATTTTAAAGTCTTTTTACAATTCCCCATTACAATAAACATAAATACTTTCTCTCTATTTGTAGATTCTCAAATTCTTCATACAGCTGCAAATAAAAATAATAAAGAAATAACAATAGTTCTAATTTCACATGGAGTAAATATCAACGAAAAAGATAAATATGGAAATATTGCTCTTCATTATGCATCAGTTTGTAATAGTAAAGAAACGGATGAACTTCTTACTTCGTAAGGCTCAAATATCAATGAAAAAGATATACATGAAAAAACAGTTCTTCATCTCGCAGCATTGAATAATAGAAAAGAAATAGCTAAACTTCTTATTTTCAATGGCCCAAACGTCAACGAAATATATAAATATGGAAAGACCGCACTTCATTATGCAACAAATAATAAAAGTAAGTAAACAGTTGAACTTCTTATTACACAAGCTGCAAAAATCAACGAAAAAGATATTCATGAAAAGCAGTTCTTCATTATGTAGCATTGCAAAAATAGAAAAGAAATAGTTGAACTCCTTATTCCATATGGTGCAAACATCAACTAAAAAGATAAAAATGCAACAATTGCTCTTGATAAGGCAGCTGATAATAATAATAGAGAAACATCTGAACTTCTTATTTCACATGACGCATAATTTAATGTTCCTGTATCAGATGCTTCTCTTTCTTTTATGATATATCTTCATTAATTTTCCATTTCAAGCATATATAAATCTGTACATATGATATATAAATAAGATTTATTCTAAAACTTTTTAGAATGTAGAAACTAAAGATTTGACTTTTCCTTCCTTGAGTAAAACAGAGTATACGTAAACACCAGCATGTTCGAAGCAGTCAGGTGCAGAAGGAACAATCATAGCTCCATCCTTTGAGTCAACACCTTCACCAACTGGCATATTTCCGAAAGCTGCGTATTTGACCATCCAATCAAGTCTCTTTTGGAAATCAATACCGAGTAAATGCTCCGACCAAGCAACGTAAGCGGTTACGACTGGCCAAGCTGGTTCTGCCTGTTGTGTTTCCATTGTTCCTTCACCACATGGGTTCCAAACGGAGTCGTAGAAGTAAGGATCATTCTCGTACCTTGCAATGCCACTTTCGAGCTTTGTCAACTTAGATTTGATAAAATTCAAGTGACTTAAGGCGTTTTCTGAATCCAACAATCCGAAGAAAACACAAGTCATTGATGCTGAATCAGCTTTTGTATCAGGATCTTTAAGATCGTTATCTCTTATACCTCTATATAATCTTTTTGTTTCTGAATCCCATAATGTCTCCATAACTCCTTTCTTTAGTTCATCAGCTCTTTCCTGGCATTGGCTGGCTCTTGTTGTATCTCCAAATTCCTTCTCAATTGAGTAGGCAGCTCTAATTCCACCGTAAAGGCAGCCCATTTCGAAAGAATACCATTGCTGTGGAACAGGCTCTTTTGTATGGTGGTCGGTGCTCTCTTCCCATGGAGATCTGTCAGATGGAGGGAAATTGTGATAATTTGAGTTCTTTTGGAAGATGAAATTCTCCATTTCGCGGATTCTTGTCATTTTACTCTTGACCCAGTCTTTATCACCAATTGTCTTCAAGTGATAATTTAATGCGACCAAATACAAACCAACAGAATCATATTGTGGCTCAACAAAAGGAGCAACATTACCTGTCATTGTATCATATGTTGTATGGAAGCCACCGTTTGTTAATTCAGCGTTATCGACCCAATTAAAGAAATCTTTCGCTTCCTGGTGGTATCCAGCTGAATCAAGCATGAAGGCGGCCATCAGGGAATCACGCATCCAGTTCTTGTAGCCATAACTTGGATGTAATGATGAAGCAATTAATCCTTTCGCCGGATTTTGGGAATTTTTAAGAGTAAGGATTGATTTCTTGTATAAATCAAGAGCATCATCTGTAAGTGATGTTTGGACACCTTGTGAAAGGAATTGAGTGTATCTTTCATTTGTCATCTTGATTATTGCGTCAACACCGAGAACTGTTGCCATTGTTAGATGGTTTACAGCATCGACAGTTGTACGACCGAAAGATCTGATCGAAGTAACAACTGTTTCCTTAGATGGTGAAATTGTGAACTCGTAAACAGCTCCAAAGGAAACTGATGCTTGGTTATATGATGTAAACTTTTGGATAACGCCGTTGGCAGCGAAATACTTGAGAGGGTTTGAGTCATCATTAAAATCACTGTTTCCTACTGATTTTAATGGTTTGTAGTTAGTATCGATTGAGATAGCAACTGAAGCTAAGTTTGATTCCTTACGATCCATAAGGCAGCTATTTCCAGAACACCTTCCTTTTGTCCATTTTTCATCATTTCCTGAAATAACATAATCGAGGAGCTTGATGTTATGGGAATTGCCATCAGTAGACTTGATTGTATATTTCACTAAGTAAAATTCTTCATGTGGAGGCATATAAAAAGAGCGACGGATTGATATTGGCATTTTGTCTGTTCGATATGCATCATATGTAGTAAATAACTCACCATCAACCTCTTGTACACAACCACTGAGGTGAGAATTATTGAAAAGCATATCATTTCCGTAAATTTGTCCATCAATTGAAACAGCAAATGAATCAGATGTAATTACGTCGCGTGTTAAGTCATCATAAGCTTTGAGATGATTGATTCCTGGATGCATTGATGGCTCGACTGTCCAAGATTTTTGAGCTGTGCTCCAGTAACCAATAACTGGGTTTGTCTTGTCCCAGTTGTTAAGCCAGTATGATGGGATTGCTCGCTCTGTAGCAGATAATGTTGGATTAGCAAAGAAAAACAGCATTTAACTTATTGACAATATTAAAACTTCTTTTTGTCTCAAAAAAATTTTGAATGACTTTCTACCGGATTTAATCGAATTAATAAATAATCTACTCGTGTAGATCTCTACAATTATTAATTATCAACAAATTTGTCACATTTCCGATAAAATGAGAGTTGAAAGAGGATTCAATTTATTAAGAGAGTTACTTCAAAATTTCAATACATATTCATTATCCGGTAAATGCACGATAATCTAATATGTATTTATTAAAAAGTGTTTAAATTGATAATTAGTGGTTTATATTGTAATAAACAGAAATTCATCAAAAGTGACAACTCTCAATTTTTTGACATTTGTAAATTCTAAATTGAATGAGAAAAATGAAATAATACTAAGCATAATACAATATTCTAGATTTAATTATAATTGGGGGAAAGTTAGTTTTGAGAGTACTTTTCATAGGCATATAGAATGAAATCTTCTGAAAAATAATATCACATAAACTCATATTATTTTCTAATATATAACTATTTTATATAAAAATCAAATTCAATGATCTTAAAAGCGAAGGATAAACCTCAAAATTTACGAATATAATGAGTGGGAATATAATGCTTATCTATCATAAAACCATATGAAATATCAATTTTGCTTTACGCCTAATTTTTGACGACAATTAGCAAAAAATGTTAAATGTTAACACTCAGTCCATTTGAATATGAAAAATAAAATTGACTTTGATTAAATGTTTTTATTTATCATGCAATTCTTCTTGCGACCAAAGATTTGAATAAAATTTCAAAAAATAAGATAGCTTAAAAAATAATATACGGTAGTGTTTACTAATAGATGAATAGTACATAAATTCTATTAAAATGGATTTGATCCAAAAAAATATATAAAATTTGATCATAAATGAAATCGTTTTAAATTACTTCTTCATTTAAATTATAACAATTATTTTTGGTTTTATATTTTTTGGATCAAATCCATTTTAATAGAATTTATATACTATTCATCTATTAGTAAACACTACCGTATATTATTTTTTAAGCTATCTTATTTTTTGAAATTTTATTCAAATCTTTGGTCGCAAGAAGAATTGCATGATAAATAAAAACATTTAATCAAAGTCAATTTTATTTTTCATATTCAAATGGACTGAGTGTTAACATTTAACATTTTTTGCTAATTGTCGTCAAAAATTAGGCGTAAAGCAAAAATTAATTTCATATGGCTTTATGATAGATAAGCATTATATTCCCACTCATTATATTCGTAAATTTTGAGGTTTATCCTTCGCTTTTAAGATCATTGAATTTGATTTTTATATAAATAGTTATATATTAGAAAATAATATGAGTTTATGTGATATTATTTTTCAGAAGATTTTGTGTTCTTCTTCAAAATTTTACTTTTTTATTAAAAAGAATCTTTACAAAATATACATTTACTTTAATTAATATTTAAAAACGTGCTCTATCAAAAGTTCCAAAAATTCAATATTTTAGCTTTTCTGAGGTGTCACTTTTGATGAATTTCTGTTTACAACAATATGATCTTAACATTTCCGTTTTTAGAGATATGGCCTATAATACTTACATCATCGTCATCGTCGTGATATGAAACGAAGTTTTCATCTTCTCCACCATCTGGAATGACATCACCGAACAATTCAAACTTGTTAAGAGCAATGCAAGGTGGATCCCCTGGACAAGCTTCGTTTTGAATTAATCTGACGTATTTCGTTTCATATGTTTTGTCTAAATCGTAACTTTTCTCTTTGCAATAGCGCATTTCATTATCTCTTTCGATTTTATGGACTTCTTTCCATTCTTTATTGTCATCAGAAATTTGTAAGGACCAGCTGTATAAACAGCAGTCAATACAGTAATTATAATGTTCATCTTCACAGCAGCATCTATTTGCATCATAGCAGCAGCCAACACGAACAAAGTATCCGTTAAATTTAATCTTTCTCTTGTCTAATGAAAAAGCAATCCATGGATGATCATCATTAGAACGTCCACAATTTGAACACCAATCATAGTCTTTATCCCATGGATAAATTGCATATTCTGGCTTTGCTAATGCTTTTGATCCATTTACATATTGTTTTGATGATCCACTTGCATTAACAACAATTATTTTATCATCAAAAACTTTTGAGAATATTCCTTTAGTGCTAGTACCTGATTGAACCCTAGCAAAAAGGAAAGAAATAATCATTGAAATAAAAAAGTGACAAAAAATTCTGAATGAATTTCTTTTTTATCTATTTCAGCGGAAGTTCAAGTTCAGAAGTGAATGGAATATTCAAGAAAGTATTCGACGACAAGATAATCGAGATTGATGCAAGTGGGTCGTCTAAACAAAGAATCAACGGAACTCGTCAATTTACTAAGCCAGAATACGCAATTTATCCGTGGAATAAGGAATATGATTGGTGCTCAAATTGTGGAAGAACATATGAAGATCATCCATGGATTACTTTTTCACTTAAAAATAAAAAGATCAAATTAACAGGATACTTCGTCCGTGCTGGCTGCTGTTATGCATCATCAGGACTATGCTGCTGTGAGGATCCTTCATATAGTTATTGCGTTGAGTGCTGTTTATATAGTTGGTCTTTACAAATTTCCAACGACAACAAGACATGGAACGAAGTTCACAAAATGAAGGACGAAGAAATGAGAAGGTGCACAGAGAGAAGCTACAACTTAGACAGGGCATACGAAGCGAAATACGTCAGATTAATCCAAAATGAAGCATGCCCAGGAGATCCACCATGTATTGCACTCAATAAGTTCGATTTATTTGGTGATATCATTTCTGATAGCCCAGACGAAGAAAATTTCGTCTCTTATCACGATGATGACGATGATGTCAGTATTATTGGCCATATTTCTAAAAATGGAAATGTTAAATTTGTCTAAAATTATATGTATATGTATTACCATATTTTTTTGTAAAATTTATTATGATTCATTAAATTATCTGATATTAAAACAATAAAGAATATATGTTATACGATCTTATCATTGTAATTAAAGTGAGATATTAAGAATCCGTATTAATATTTACTTTTTCATGGGGCCTCGATTAGATTTGACTAAATAATGCTTCATGATCGACAAAGCATTTATTGTCATGAATTTCTGACTAAGTGATGACAAGGAACTACATTAAACTCGCGTTAAAATCTTAGGTCTATTTCATTTTTGACTAGTCATTTTTTTTTAAATGGATGATAATCGACTGAACCCGAATGAAAATAAAAATTGAATGGGATGAATCATGACTTAGATTTACTTATTAAACAGTGACTTTATTAATATATTCTTCATTTCTGGTATCAGTTCATTTCACTTCATATGAAAACTTTTGACTAGTCATTTTTTTAAATGGATGATAATCGACTGAACCCGAATGAAAATAAAACTCCAAGAAAGCCAAGTGAGAACAAACCAAAAAATGAACAGAAACAAGGGCAGATAAAAGATAAAAGTCAAAATCCAACACAAAATCAAGATGGAAATGATAAACCAAAGAAGAATCAAGATGGAAATGATAAACCAAAGAAGAATCAAGATGGAAATGATAAACCAAAGAAGAATCAAGATGGAAATGATAAACCAAAGAAGAATCAAGATGGAAATGATAAACCAAAGAAGAATCAAGATGGAAATGATAAACCAAAGAAGAATCAAGATGGAAATGATAAACCAAAGAAGAATCAAGATGGAAATGATAAACCAAAGAAGAATCAAGATGGAAATGATAAACCAAAGAAGAATCAAGATGGAAATGATAAACCAAAGAAGAATCAAGATGGAAATGATAAACCAAAGAAGAATCAAGATGGAAATGATAAACCAAAGAAGAATCAAGATGGAAATGATAAACCAAAGAAGAATCAAGATGGAAATGATAAACCAAAGAAGAATCAAGATGGAAATGATAAACCAAAGAAGAATCAAGATGGAAATGATAAACCAAAGAAGAATCAAGATGGAAATGATAAACCAAAGAAGAATCAAGATGGAAATGATAAACCAAAGAAGAATCAAGATGGAAATGATAAACCAAAGAAGAATCAAGATGGAAATGATAAACCAAAGAAGAATCAAGATGGAAATGATAAACCAAAGAAGAATCAAGATGGAAATGATAAACCAAAGAAGAATCAAGATGGAAATGATAAACCAAAGAAGAATCAAGATGGAAATGATAAACCAAAGAAGAATCAAGATGGAAATGATAAACCAAAGAAGAATCAAGATGGAAATGATAAACCAAAGAAGAATCAAGATGGAAATGATAAACCAAAGAAGAATCAAGATGGAAATGATAAACCAAAGAAGAATCAAGATGGAAATGATAAACCAAAGAAGAATCAAGATGGAAATGATAAACCAAAGAAGAATCAAGATGGAAATGATAAACCAAAGAAGAATCAAGATGGAAATGATAAACCAAAGAAGAATCAAGATGGAAATGATAAACCAAAGAAGAATCAAGATGGAAATGATAAACCAAAGAAGAATCAAGATGGAAATGATAAACCAAAGAAGAATCAAGATGGAAATGATAAACCAAAGAAGAATCAAGATGGAAATGATAAACCAAAGAAGAATCAAGATGGAAATGATAAACCAAAGAAGAATCAAGATGGAAATGATAAACCAAAGAAGAATCAAGATGGAAATGATAAACCAAAGAAGAATCAAGATGGAAATGATAAACCAAAGAAGAATCAAGATGGAAATGATAAACCAAGATATGATAATAAGCAGAAGACAGGAGTAAAACAAGGTGATGATAATATGTCCAAAGAAAGTTCCAAATCAAATCAAAATAAAGGAAAATTTCACAAACAGCCTGATAATCACTCTATATCTAGTAAAGTAACTAATGCTGACAATGATATCTTTTCAATACAGTCAAAGAATTCAAGAGTTCATGAAATGAATTTGGATTCTTTTATTGAAGCATCTAACAATCTATCAAAATTCTTTTCCGCTCACAAACAACAAGAATTAATGAGTGATTGGAGTGAAACCAAAGAATATTTCGACTCTGCATTAATCACAAGATTTCCAACTGAAACAGGGTTAATTTATGAATCAATTGTTGCCATTCCAAACTACAATAATACATTTGACAAAAATTCAGATGTTTACAAATTATTCTTTGATGATGTTAAGACAACATTTGCTGCAATTAATGTATTTATTAGATTCTATTATGAATTCAGTGGGAAAAAATACGAAAAAGAAATTTTCTCCATTCTTGGAAAACTTTTCAACATGGCATTTATTCCACCAAAAGATGATTACAATTACAAGACAGTTGTTTATCCTGTATTAACAATCTTTTCAGATTTTTCTGATATAAAAGCTCCTATAATTAATTTCAAGAGTTCTACAGGAAGTGGAAAAACGAGATGTTCTCCATTCATGTATTCAATCATTGCTATTCAAGAAGGACTCAAAATGCCATTCTTCATCATGACACAACCAGGTATGTCAATAATCGAAGACAAAGTTGAAGATTTCAATATTCAATTTCAAAATTCTGTCGTCATTGAAACAAATCCATATAATTTCATAAAATTTTATCAAGAAGAAAAAATTGTCAAACCTGTAATCGGTCTATTTTCTCCAAGAAATCTTTTAGTTGTTTTATCGTTAGCCAAGAAACAAAAAATTAACATTTATGAGAGAACAAGATTTTGCTTGGATGAAATCCACGAAAGATCAGTTTACACTGATATTGTTATTTCCCAACTTGCAGAAAATTGCACGAAAACACAAATTCCTAAGCATCTCATGATGATGTCAGCAACACCAGATAAAAGAGTTCTTGAAGTATTCAAACGTGGCAATGTTAAAGAAATTTATCAGCTTTCTTTGAATGATAAATTCTTATTCCCAATCAAAGACATCATCTGCGAAGCCCAGCAAAGAAATAATATCTGTACTATTGCAGTCAATAACACAATCCAAATCATCAATGGCATGGTTGATAATCCTTCAAAAAGAGGCCACATTGTCATCTTTTCTTCAGGAAAAGCGAGAATTTCAGAAGTTAAAGAACAATTGACTAATAAAATCGAAGCAGAAATGAAGAAACCTGTTGTCAGTGATACAGTTTCAGTTGATTCAACAACTTCATTAAATCAAAAGCCAAAGCATAGGTTTGTTCTTCTCAAAGATGCAGATAAAAATTTCTCAAATCCAAAAGATTTCGCAAATTATTTGAAGAAGGCTGTCACAGACAATGAAACATTGTATATCCTTCCAATTATTTTCTTGAGTTATGTTTCACCTACACAGAAGAAGATTGCAAAGAATGACATCCGAGGTTATAAGAATGTTATTAAAATTGTCATTGCGACAAATGCAATTGAGTCATCAATCACAATTAACAATCTTGTTGCTGTTGTTGATTGTGGATTATGCAACATGCCATTCTTCAATTCCCAAACAGGTATCACAACATTGAGAGAAGAATCAATCACTCATCAGAACCAAATGCAGAGAAGAGGACGTGTTGGACGTGTTAGACCAGGCACATATGTTCAAATCAAACTCAAAGGACAAGTTTATCCAGAAAATCAAGAACCAGAAATCTTGACGAGTGATATTTCAACATATGTTTTGGATTTGAGACATATTGGTATTCAAATCGAGAATTTGAAATGTTTACCAGATAAAGTTAAAAACATGGATTCAATCATGAACAACTTGAAACGAATTGGTGCTATTGATGATAAAGGATGGTTAACAGATACAGGAAGAAAACTCTCTGCTTTCAAATCATTTACACCTTTCTTGGCTTCTTCAATCATCAGCACTTCAGATTTATATTATAATGGAACAGTAATTTCAAAGTTGTTTGGTGCTCTTGTTATTCATTTGTTTTCAGATGATTTGGTTGTTAATGAAATGTCTCCATTTTTGATAAACAACTTCAACTGGAAGTCAGATATCGACACAATTCTCAAAACTTTCCTCCAAATGATGAAAGAAAAGAAACCATTAAAGGATATTGCCATCAAATATGGATTCAATCAAAAACGTGCATCAACAATTGTTGGAGAAATGTATGAAGCATGCAGTACATTGGATGATTCAATATCTGGAAACGTTTGGCAATTGTTATCTGAATTTTACAAATCACATGAATTTGTCGATGAATTTTCAAAGAATTTGTTCACTATAATTGAACAAAAATCAGAAAATGGCATTTGGATTAAGGCGAGAAAATGTGATTTTGCAACAGTCAACAACGTTGAGTTTGGTGCTGAATTTGGTTTCGTTGGAAATGATTACATCAAATTCCAAGATGTCGATGAATTAAGTGTTGTTATGAAGATGAGACCAGGTGCAACAACATTAGAAGTACCATCAAAAGCATTGTTTCTTAACATCTCCCATAACGAAGATCTTCAAATCAACTTTGGAAGTATGATCCATATTGATCATACAAGAGAACAAGGAATCAAACCAGTAGCAATGAAGATTCAGTCATATCTCAACACACCTTTCTTAAGTCCAATGTTGCAAGGATATTTGGATGAAAACATCAATGATTTACTTAAATTCAAGATGAGAGGAAGAGCTATCAGTGCCGATGCTGGTGATGAATATTTTGTTGTTACAACAACAACAGATAATTCAATATCACATTTGAATTTCATTCCAAAGAACCAAGAAATTATAAAGCTCATCGAAAGAGGCATTAAAATTCTAACAAATCTTGCTCCTTTCACTCCTCAATCAATCCTTCTTATCCTTCCTTATTTGAATTGCAGCTGCATTTTGCGTGGATATGGAATTGACAAAATGGATAATGATATCATTTTCTTTGATGATCCGGTTTACAAAGCTTATCAAGTCACGAAAACAACACTTGAATATCTTCGATCGAAGAAGAAATATCTTGCTGATCAAAGCTGCAACTGCACAATTGCAATTACAGGAGAAGACATGTCATTTTCATTTGATCCGGCTGTTGATGAAGAAGAACAAGATTCTTCTAATTTGGATTATGTTCGTCCACATACAAAGAAATCATGTGATTCAGTATTCGGACACAAATATAACTATTCACATTTAGTTGTTTTATCAAAAGATAGAATTCCTAATGCAACAGAAATTCCATGGATCAAGAAAGGTATTTATGCAGAATACACAACAGAAACATTAATTGCAGCATTGTCAGCAAACATTTTCAGGTCAGGTGTTCAAATCAGGTACACACCATGGATTAACTTGTATCCACATGGAGCAAATGTTAACATTAAAGGAACTCTTCCAAGAATTGATCAAAGAGATGCTGATCTTTATGCAAGTAAAGAACCAATGGGAAGATTAATCAACATGTATGAAATGGGTTGCGTTAAAGGACAAGATTTGATACAAAATGTTGATCTTCAAGATTTCGAAGTAACAGGATCATGCGATTTTGGAAAATCTATTGGATTATATTTCAAAATGCAAAGAGAAAATACATTAATTTCCTTGGCAGAGATGAGGAATATTTTAAGTATGATCCGTAATAGACAATTTGCTCAAATTAAAAATATGACCATAAATAACCTTTTGAAGAACGAAAACATATTGTCACACTTGATTGCAATTGCAGAATTGTTTGAACAAAACTATGAAAACATAAGATTCTCGGATAACTGTATCACAATTGGAATCAAGAATCCATTAGATGTTAACAAAGATGTCAAAAATCTCGAACAAATATTACAATGCTTCAATATCAATCATATTGAAGTTGTTCCAGTATTCCAAATTTCCATTTTCCATTTGAGAGAGTATAAAATGGATAAAGATCAATTCGTTAAAGAAATTGATTCAGTTCTAAAGAGATTTGGAAAAATTGTCATTAATAGATGTGAATACAAAGAGCTCAAGACAGCTGGAAGTCGTCGTTCATACAAATTTGGATCAGTTAATATCTCTGTCTGTTCTACTACATTCTTAGGTCCAATTGTTTCTCTCATCAAGGAGAAGTTAATTAAGAACAGATATGCAACAGTCAGAGTTCCAGACTCAATTGTTCCTAAGTTTGTCAACTCAAACAAAGAAATCATCAAAACATTAATTGAATATTTCAATGAACACAAATTGAATATCAAGAGAGAAGGTTATAGATACATTGGATCAGAAAAAGATGTAATGGAAGCAGAAAAATTGTTTGTCAATGATCCTCCAAAGATTCCAGTTACAATTGTTGACATCGCAGCGAATTACAATGTCAATCTCCTCGAGATCGCTATCAGAAGAAACAGAAGATCATGGAAGATCAGCAAAATATCAAGAATCATTGTTGCTCCTTCAAATGAATCTAAAGAGAAAGTCATTGAATTCATGAACAAATTTGGTGTTGCAAGAGATACACAATCTGTTACAGAAGAAGATGACAAATATCCAGCATGTTTCGGTGATGAAATTCTTTGCCATGAAGATCCATCATTGCAATCAAAGACAAACATCAATATGTTCCTTGATATCAACACTGTTGTTTCTCGTCCTATTTGCCTTGAATGCGCTAAAGAAACAATCAAAAACAATCTTGGAACAATTGTTGATGGCAAAGGCAACATCAAGATCCAAGATGTACTTGGAAACGCAGAATTTGTTGAGATCTATCAATTCTATGACACAGAAGCAGATAATGCTGGAATAAATCTTTGGCCATTCGTTCCATTTGGACACTTGATGTGGACATTGCTTTCTTCAACAATTTCACACAAAGAAACAAAAGCATACATCACCACACAAGCTGCACGTGTTTTCCACAAATCTTCAAAGATTACATTTTGTCCTGTACATCCTCAAATTTTGATGAAAACAGCTGTATTCCAAACACAAAAATGCACATTTAAATGCTGCCGAATGGAAAAATGTGCCAACTGCAACAACTGGCATAGGATTGGAGATTGTAAGAAAGAATTCATTATACCGCCAGGAAATCGCAAATGTCCATACTGTGGAACAGGTGTCGAGAAAACAATTGCATGTAATCATTTGAAATGCGTCTGTGGTAAAACATTTTGTTATTACTGTGGAAAGAAGATGGAAGAATGCAAAGTTGCGGATCATCAATGGATGGAAGCCCCTGATTATTGCAAATATGTATTGAAGAGAGATGTTACGGATGCAGAACTCAATCGATTTTATAATGACTACCCATATTTAAGACCAAAAAATAATTAAATAAATTCTTATTTTATTTATTATATATTTACCTACTATAAATTCATCAAGATCATTCAAAAATGAAAAGAAATATTAAACATTAAATTGTTCAATGTTACTTATAGAATGCTCTGAAAAAACGAAATTGGAATTTCTTCAATTAGATTAGGTAACTCAACATAAGATAACCTACCACACTCATAAAACATTGCTTCTCTTAATTGAACTTTATTATTGCAATGCCATTCGAATGAAATTAAACCCGAACAGAAAACAAAGGATAAACTCCCAAGATATTCTAATCCTGAAAAGTATATGGAACTGAGTGAAGTGCATCCATAAAAACATCTTTCTCCAATATGTCTAATTTTATTTTTGGCGTAAAGTTATATTTTGTAGAGAAGTGCAATCACTGATGTATTAAAAATTATTTGTTTAAGATTCAAGCATCATACAAAGGCATCGTGTCCAATGGAAGAGCACTTTCTGACAACAACATTGACAAGAGATATATTTTGTATGTACTCCAGCTCTAAAATATTGCCTGTGATGATTTTTATACTTTTCAAAGAATTTTTTTCTTTCAATTGTTGAATTTAACGCCCAGATTCAACAAATACTGCTGTTTTTGAATACCAATAGCATTGACTATAAAAAAATTTAGTCTGATTCACTTTTGATTGTATAATCAAATTGAGGAGAAATAAAGTTACTCTTATTGCATCGAAAGATTGCATTTAAATAGTGCCTTATAATTATAGGATTTATTATTAAATGTGAATATTATCGTTATCGGAATTTTTATCAAAAAAGATAGTTGAATTGTATTTATGATGTAACTTTGTTCTTCTTCGATCATTAAAAAATAAGAGTATTGAATTGAAAGATCTGAAGAAATCTCTTATTTATCATTTTAATCTATCAATATAATATACATATGGTCAAATGTCATACTGTAAATGGAAAATGTGTTCAAATAACATACCATTTATTTATCTTTTGAATGGGAAGAAAGCATTTAAATGTTTCCCCACTGATTGATGTGATATGGTATCTCTAGGTGATGTTTTGCTAGAAGTTAATGTCATGCTAAAAATTCAAAATATTTAATTACTTAATGGTAATTCGAAGTAATTCAATGCTTTTAAAGATCATTGAGTCATGCACAACGAATACATTGATATTTTATATATCTTTTTACTAATTCTTTTGTGGAAAATGGCTAATTTGATATGTCATCAACTTAAATGTAGTGAATCAACATGGTTTTTTGAAACATTTTTCATTAATTTACGTTATTTTAGTAGGATATTTATGAACAATTATGCATCCATGATTCAAAACAGTAAAATTATTAAGAAATAAACTAAAATTATATTTTAATTCAATCGCTTTCTTGTGGATTCTCCAACTCTGCATCTTCTTGCTTTATATTTAATTCTATTGTTTGTTTTGGATCAGAATCTTCTTTATCATGTTTCGAATCTGAATTAAAATCACTAAAATTAACATCTTCGAAATCATTTGCAAATGCATCATCATTCTCATTATTTTCGTGGTTATCTTCTGTTTGAACAAAAAGTGGATTATCGTGTGTGTTACTAACTGTTGAATTAAATGGGTCTGTATGCTGGACTGTCTCTTCTTGCATGCTGTACGAGTATTCTGATAAGGAGTTTGTTTCAGCTTTGTTTCTTAACCTATGAATTACAAAGATCAGAACCAAAATTATGAGAATTAATCCGCAAACAATTCCAATGCAGATGTAAAACTGTTTATGAGTTAAGAATCCAAGAATTAACTTCGAACCCTCTGATGAATCTTGTTGATTTCCGGGAGGAATTTCATTGGTTGGTTGTTGAGTTTCTTGTGGAGAAGTTGGCACTGGAGTCATAGGGGGTGTTGTCCTCTTTGGAAATGGAATAATTGCTTCGCATAATCCAGATTCATAAAATATATAGGTAGTCTCGTTAACTTCATTAGATATCGTATAGTTATTAACGGTAACTGGTCCATGAGTAGACATTACATCTAAAATTACATCTTCGGCTACGAGAATTGAAGCTCTCAGACCTTCAAAAACGGGTTTTGAGTTAAGATTATTGTCTTGTATGATTGTATTTGTGATTTTAACAATACCATAAGTTCCTCCATTGTTAAAATCTATAATACCATAATTATAAATCAACCCATAATATTAAGATGATGAAGATGGTTCTCTGCTACGAGATTGTCGTTATAAATTGTAGAGCATGGGCTTTCGTTATTTCTCATTGTGGAATATGATACTGAAGTTGCTTGATTGTTTTTGATGAAGAGGTTTCCATAGCTCCAATCAGTTATTTCTCTACGGGTGGCTTTACACGAAGAAATATTCATGTTTGAAGCATATGGGCTACCTGAGAAGAACAAATTTTTACAGGGACTTTCGCATTTCACTGCAGAGATGTGAGAAACATTGAATGTTGATGCCAACTTTATTACACAGCATCCACCACTATTGCCTGCGCTGCAATTATAGATGCAAACAAGTTTGACATTGCAATCCATGTAATACCAAAAGCTAAACGCGCCACCATCCTTAGATTGGCAGGATGTAAACACGCATGCAACTAAATTAACGCCGCAGTTAGCTGATCCTCTATAAAGATGAATTGCTGATTGAGATGTTTTGTTTCCAATTCCAGAAAACTGGCATTCTAGAAATTGAAGTTCTCTGTAACAGCCCTATCAATTTTTTCAGCTATGGCAACGCCGGTTTGCTCATATGATGCTGAAAAATGGGTCAGGAAAGTTAACATTAAATTGAGTTGCTTTCAAAAATATTCTGATGTATCATAAACAAGTTTAAGGGTGCGCCCGGGAGGATCATGTAAACTTCAGAATTTAGAACCTTAATTTTTAAGCAATAACTTGGTACCTAAATAGGTAGGAAAACTCTAAAAATATCAAAAAATACAACTTGGCTCCATAATAATCCTGTCATTGTGGCTGTTTGTATCCCCTAGTATTTTCCTCTTGAATCTCTTTTTCTGTCGAAATTAAATTCAAATCTCAGAAGTAGAAGTGAATAATCGACTTATTACTGCTATTATACGAATAAATAAATTCATTATATTATTTTTATTTACATAATATCTGTTTGAAGTCCATAATTCTATAAATTTTTCTTCAAAAACATTACAATCTTGATAGTTTTGATACTGTTTAATAGGTTTTTGGCACCTTATTTAGTATTTACTACGTATAGAGTCGATCTGAACTTAATTTTCGGAAATTTAAAATATTTATTATAAGTAAAATCTGATTTGAAATTAAAAAAAAAAAGGTAGTGGGGCCTCCAGGCACTTCGTGCCCTCTAGCCCTGAAGATGTTTAGTATAACTTTGTCCGGACAAGTAAGGGTCTATCGTCGCTACAGGAAAAGTTACGGGCGTTCCAAGGAAGTATACTTTGAGAAGCCTTTCCCCCTTATAGAATGAGATAGGACGGTTATTTTACAAAACTGACAACACTTTGACCGAGTAGTTTTTTGTGCTGAACAAAAAGTGTCATATAAACATCTGTCAAAAACCGCTTTTTAACTTCACTTAAAATGCCACGTAAGCTACGTAAGAATATACGTAAGAGGAAGGGAGCATTGAAACATCCAATAGTAAAACTGACACCACAACAACAGTTGCAACAACAAATGATGAATGACCCCACTATGTTGCAACAAATGTCAAGCAACCCTATGCTTTTAAACCGAGTTATTGGTGCACAGAGTGGAGGTTTAAGAGCGGCACTTTTAGCGAAAATGACAGGCTATGGTGGAGCTGCAGACGGAACAGCTTATAACCCTCAAAGTCAAATGAATTTGAGTTCACTCAAAAATCAAATAACAGATGTCAAAAAGTCAAACATAGACATACAGAAACAAATAAGTGAAAACGAAAAGAAACTAGAATATGACAGACACACAAAGAAACTCAATGAGTTAAACGTAGAGAAAAAGAAGAAAGAAGAACAACTGAAAGAACTAAGTACAGAGGAATATGCGAAAAAAGTGTCAGAAAAAGCAGCAGAAGTAGCAAAAATGGAACAAGATGTTATAAATTTGAAAAACCATACTACTCAATATAAAGTACTGAAAGATGAAGAAATAAAACAAAAAGCCCTGAAGACATATATGGATAGCGATGAGTATAAAAAAGAAGTTGAAGCAAATGTAAAGGCAGAAAAACTTTTACAGTTGCAAAACCAAACCGTACAGTATGAAAACTTAGCACAAGAAAGTAAAAATAACGACGCAGCCATGCAAAAGGCAATGAAAAGCGCAGAATATATAAAAGCTAATAATGACTGGTTAGATGCCCAAGCCAACGCTAAAGCAGCCCAACTTATAGGGTCAATAAGGACAAAAATACAAGCGGATGAAGACAGTTCAAATGAAGCTTTAATGAATGCTGACTTTAAGAACGCCTTCGAAGCTCTTCATAGTAAGGTGAAACTAGTGAACGACTTCTCATCTGGAAAGAAACTGAAGTCTGAAGGTTTCGACAAAGAGTTAAGAGAAGTAGCACAAAATATGACGAAAATAACAGATGCAGCAACGAGACAGGCAGTTCAAAGTGCCTATGACGCCGTTAGAGCAACTGTTGTGGAAAGTCAAGAAAAAGAGTTACAACAGACCAAAACAGACCTAGTAAATGCTTTCTTAAGAACGAAAAGTCAGGTAGGACATTATGCTGCAGATGGAACATATGTGCCAGCTGGTGGAACTTATATACCAGCTGGTGGAACTTATATACTAGCTGGTGGAACTTATATACCACCAAACCCTCCAAGAGAAGCACCTGCACCAGGACTACCTAAAACATTTACATCGTCACATGGACACAGACACAGGCATGCACCAAAACCAACACAACAACCAACACAACAACCAACAGTTCAAAACACTGCACCACAACCAACAGTTCAAAATCCAGCACCACAACCAACAGTTCAAAACACTGCACCACAACCAACAGTTCAAAACACTGCACCACAACCAACAGTTCAAAACACTGCACCACAAACAGAGCAAGGACATAAAAGAAGTAGAGAACAAGGAAACCAAGAATTCTTAAAAATGCTTAAGGAAGACTATGGTTACCCAGATACTCTTGACTTTAGTGACAGATATAAAGAAGCTATTAGAAAGTTCAAGGAAGGAAATACTGACCCGAACCTATTTAGCTTTATGGTTCAGCACCAAATGCGATATAATTTCAAACCTGGAAAATACAAGCTCGCTAAGGGATATGATTTAATAGCATATCATCCAAATGACATGACTGAATTTACTCCGAGATATTTGGTGTCAGAGATAAATGATAATTCAACTATCTTCATGAAACGCGTAAAAAATAGAGACGGAACGAAAGAAGAAAGGGTTATGAATGCGGATGGCTTAAATAGGGAACTTGTTAAAAACGGTCTCGGAATATATGAAATGCCAGCAGATGAGGTACAAGAAACTCCACAGGAAGAAGTTCAGATACAACCAGACATGGAAGAAATAGTTCAGCAACAACAGCTAGAAGAGCCTGAAGGAAACGAACAAGTCCCTCCTTTGGAAACTAACTTCACAGAACTAGATGAAGATTTGGAACAGCCGAAAAATCTTGACCCTCAACAAGAGTATGCGGAGAATATGGAATCTTTCCAAGAGTCTAAGAAAAATTCAGCTGACATAGTAGAAGAATATCGAAAAATGTTCGCCGACATACAAAAGACTCCAACATCAGATGAAAATATTCAGCATAGAATGGAAGTACTGAAAGAAAATGTACGCAAATACAACAATCCTTTTTACTTACGACCATATAACGTTCAATCTTTGGCTGAACTCGGTGAAAATAAAAGGTTAAATTTCAACAAAACATATAGAAATGAAACATTGTTTAAAGTTCATTCAGAACCTAACCAATATGGAAACAAACCTACTTTTGTTTCTGCAGACTATGGAACTACAATGAGATGGGGTCATAAAGCTAATCCGGATAGGTGGTTCATAAACTTACAACCACAATTCCAAGAAGTTGTAGACGCAATGGAAGTGAATGGTGAACCAGATATAGCTGGTATTTTCAGCGCGGCTTTAATGCCATTGAAAGATATGAAACATGCAGATATTTTGGACCAGTATGAAATGAACATGGCTGATGGAAATATAACACCTGACGTTCTAGAACATTTATCTCAAAGAACTACACAGAACCATAGAGATGGGATATTTGGTGAAGAGTTTAGAAAGAAAGTTAGGGAGATAGAAGGAAGAGAACCTATTGTACATGACCTTGCAAACGAAAGTTTACAAAATGTCATAAAAACTTACTTTGCAGACAATGAACTGAGAAGAGATGAATATTTAAGAAAACTCAAATGGACAGTACCAAATGAAATGTTAGTATTGAAAAACATGTTCCTTGACAAAATAAAACCAACTACAGAAATAAATGACGCAAGACTGAAACATTGGGTAAAAGCTTTCCCATTCACAAAAGATATTATTGGTAACATGGAAAGAAAACCAGAATGGCTACAAAAACATATATTTGGAAACGAGCTTATTCCATATGGACAAGCTCTGTTTGAAGAGCTTGAACCGGAAACTCAGGAAAGAGTCATGCAAACAATAAGCGAAGACTCAAATACAAACTATGACGAAATCTTTCTAGGATATAGGTTACCTGAGATGGGCGACCAGAGCCCAAAGGCAAAAAGGACATGGGAAATTTACAACATACTAGGTGAACATGAGGCAAAGATGCAACAACTTGAAGCAGAGGGCAAGTTACCAAAAGCGACACCAAAGAAGAGAGAAGAGTAGAACAAAGTGAAAGTAGTGAAGAAGTAACTTCATCTAGTGAAAGTAGTGGCAATGAAGGAAAAAGAAGAGTTAAAAACTCAGTCAGGAAGAAAGTAAAGCTTGGTCCGAGTGGGTTCTATTATGACACATAAATCCAACTATTCTATATTTTTACCCATATGAAATGTACGCCGCTCAGAATATAACGCCAACAGTTTTGGATGCCATGAACGGAAATGTTTCCGAATGGTATAACGAATGCGACAATGCCATTAGAAGGTCAGAAATAGTTCCTGGAACTTACGAATATACAACTGCTGTTTCTTATGGAAACGTAGGTGAGTTTGGAGAAGGTTCTTCAACAACAGTAGATATTGCTTGCGACAGGTTTCATATTATTTCTATTGACAACTCATTCTTATACGTGGAACAAGACATTGAAATAAAACCTTCTGCCAAGTTGTCTGACAAGAAAGGTTGCAATGGAATTTTCTATGTCGGATACCAATATGCTCCAGAAGTTTTCATGGGATATAAGATATATTCTAACTCTGACTTAGTTCAAACAGTAACATGGGCAAACTATGAATGGTTCGCTTTGAGAAACTCAGTACAACCACAAGCTAGAGAACAAACAGACCAGTATGCAAATATTGAGAAAATAAGAAGACTTGACCCTAACGTTCCAGGAGTTTATGTTAACCTTTCTGGAC